GTAACTTCTTGCCCAATCTGTTTTAACCTCTGTTAGACATAGGGGCATAGTTCTGGTGTGAGTGGAGATCATTTTTGGAAAGAATTGTCAGGAAAAGATGGATATAAACTAAATTACAATATCGTTGTCAGAAAAAGTCTCAAAAGCAACATATTCTGGAACTGAGTGCTCGTGATTTTTGTTGTTGGTGTCTGGAATGAATGAGCAGTTCAAAAGTTGCTGCTCATTTAATTTGCAGATTTGGCACAAGGTCCCATACAGGTGTTCTGCTTGTGTGTTGTTTTGTACAAACAAACTGTAAGCTACCAGGAAGAGAGGTTTGGGATTTTTGGTTTTGTTATTTTTGGGTTTTTTTCTCTCTGAGATAACTTGCTTTTGTAAGGTTTTGGTCAGATAACTCTTCTAAACTTAAAACAAAGCCCATTGCACATGCTGTCTGGTGAAGTGGCAGTGTATTTTGAGTTTTTTTGAAGTCTTTTATGTTTCCATGTCACCTTGTCACAACCTTCTTTCTGATTCTCAGAGTGCATTTTTATTTCTGATTTAGCCTCAGCAGACTTAAAAGCTGTGTTGGTGTGGAGAGCTGTGCTCTGTCCTTTCGTGGCAGGGAGCCTTTAGCTCAAATTGCATTGACTGCAGTCCTAGAGGAAAAAAATTTCCTCAGGGTGTGGAGCAGCAAAAAAAAAAAAAAAATCCATTACAACTTATTACAAAACAAAACCATCCTTTATATTATTGCAAATTTTTTTTTTTTTTCCCCAAGAAGTGTAGTTAGCTGGTCCTTGCTAGTGTACATAGGTTGCTTGCATATTGTGAGGCATTTCAAATCCTCCCAGTCAATATTCATTATGGTGGTTTGGTTGGAAACACTGGACCTATAAGCTGTCAAATATGTAACTACTTACATCTGTCCCAAATTCCATGTATCAAAATGAGTTTAATATTAAAGTTTTAAATAAGTTTTTAATCTGCAATAAGATCACAATCCAAATCAATTTTAGGGGTTTAAATTATATAATTTTTCAGATTTAAGGGTGAGGTTTTTATGTACCCTTAACTTGTTGTCGATTCTTACTGAATATTATTCAGTCTTATCCGTTTAAATTTCTTTGACTGTATTTGCATCATCTGAGTACTGAGGAATACAGGTTGCTTTAAAAATTTTAAATTTTTCTTTTTTGTGGATGTTAAAGTGAAAACTTTTTATCATCTTTCTGTTCTAAAACTTTCTTCTTCTGTTTAAACTACATTCTGCAGCATAACCCTGTAATATTCTTCTTAGGTGAATCCTTTAATGAAACTGTTGGGTTAGAAAAGAATGGAAAAGAAGAGGATTTTCAGTAATAAAAATAACCTGAAATACTAAGACCAGTTTGAGAATGTTTTCTGTAAACAGTGCTCAGTACCTATAAATGAGCTATAGATTCTATAAACTAAAAGTAATTCACCAGCAGCCTGTTTATAGCAGTTACTCCCACATCCTCACACCCCGTGATAGATACATTGTGCTGTGAGTTGGCTGCTGGCTCTCTTTTGGTGTGCTTGGCCATTGACCACCACAGTGTTTGTGTGTACATAGGTATTAAAAAAATTGATGCAATTGTTTGTTACTAGAAGGTGCTGTTTGGATTTTATCACAGCAGTTAATTTTCCTTTGCTCCCTATAGTAATAGATGCTGTTCCCTCTGCCTGTCTGTAATTGACAATAACTCTTCTGGCAGAAGGTTTTCTGTGCACTTACATTTTCCAGCCATGGCTTTGTCAGTTAAGGGTGTGGCTTTTTCTGACACAGTTGTGTTGGAACAGTCTCTCTCATAGAAACACTTATCATGGCAGAAAGTCCTCTGGCATTACAGCTTATCTTACTGGGGGGCTGTAGTGCACTACATCAGAAAGAACCTGTCTGTACTGAAGTGTTGTGGGTGTGAAGACAGTCTGCATTTTTTTTCCTAATATGTGTTTTTACTGCCTGGGCAGACTGTTGTGATTTGCAGTGTTAATTTCCAGTTTATAGACTCACTGGCCATTCCCCATGGTGTTTTCAGATTCCTTTTATTTATTTATTGGTATTCATATTACTCAAACTCTTAACTGGAGAGTTCATCATGCCTTACTCCCAAAGGATTTTTCCAGGAAACTCATAAATAAATTTCAGTGGCTTTGCAAAGTGTTGTCAAGCATGTCTGCTTCCAGTTTGAAAGTTGATCCCTTTAACATCAGTAGCTGGCAGCTATTAAAATAATTACTATTACAGTTCTGTTAAAACAATTAATTAGTAGACCTTGCAGGGGAGGATGTCATTAATTTGGGGTGTCTGCAATGAAACAGATATTTAACCTTAGATATCAAATCATCCCTGAATGTTAATAATTGATTTTCATGTGAAATTGTTGCCACTACATAGTGATGAAGTAATACCTTCCCAAGAGCTTCTGGAATGACACAGTGTACCTGGATGGAGGAGTAATGCAACTTCTGCAAGCACCGTGATCCCATTTTAATGTTGTTCTTGTGGGCTGTTAGGGACCAGCTTCTTGCCAGTGTGAGTAGGAAACTGAAGTAATTATGTGTGTCATTCATTTGGAAGTAGGTTTTGGTACTCTGAAAGATGGAATGAGTGTAATTAATTAAATGTGAAATTACATTTGCAGATGTGTGTACACTTTAATTTAAATAAGATTGTGCATGCACAACAACATGACACTTAAATCTAGCCTGAACATCAAATGCCTCAGCCGGCAGGAGCAAGCTGTTCTCTGCTGGTGGTAAGCTCAAACTTCCTTGTTTTCCTATGCTTTGCTTTTCAGTAAAGACACATTTGTGGCTGCACTCAGCAGAGAGCAGTACAGAGTGAACTATTGTGTAGTTCTGGCTGTCTTCACTTGCCATTGTGCTGTTTCTAAACTCCCTGAATTTTCTTGATAAGCAGAGTCTGGTGAAGCTCAGACTTCGCTTGGGCTAAATACGCTGTTGCTGTAATAGAGTAAGGCACATTTGGGTCTGCAGGTTGCTATTTTTCAACCAAGCCGTGGGTGTAGAGGCAGTAGTATGGCTGATAGAGCTCAAGAGGTTGGAAAAAGTGTTAGTAGGCCTTCAAATGTGTTTTCAAGGAAGGAAGAAGCAGATGGTGCACGCTGGAGATTGTGAGGAGAAAGAGAACATAGAAGGAGTGTATTAGACATCTGAAGGAGAGGTGTCATGCCAAAGGAGAGGTGTCTACTTTGCCTAAAATTTCCTAGGTCTAATACCTTAAAAGGTTTCCCTTGTGGATAAAAGCATTATTTCTCCTTGCTGTACCCTGTATTTCTCCGTGGGTGAAGAAAAGTGAGCAATTTAAATAATAAAGATGTGCATATGAGCTTTAGAGAAGAAAACAATCAACCATGATGTTTAAAGTATAAACTTTAAAATGAAATATTTTAAACACTGAAGAGGTGTCTTTGTATGTTTATTTAGTAACTCAGTGGGTGGAAATCATTGAGTGTTTAAGTGCTAACATGGAGTTTCATTGTAATATCCCATTGTGCAGAGTCAAGAAAAATAATTTATTTTGGTCATTGTGTTCAGCTGTCTCAGTTCGCTGGTTTTTTTCATTCTGATATAAGAAATGAGTTGAATTTTGAAACTTCTTTCCTAATGTAAGAATTAAAGAGGATGAAATCTGCTAATTCTGGAGTCTTGAAGTAGATAATTTTCTTCATCTCAATGATTTTGTTTAACATAATCTGCATTTCAAAATTTATGTAAACATGCCTTTGCTGTGTGCATCCACATCTGAAGTGGTTTTAGCTAATAAGCATGCAAACAAATTACTAAGCAAATTAGAAGCAGTGTAAGTTAAGTCCCTAACAAAAATCTAAAAATGGCAAAAAAATAGAGACATATGTAAAACTTTACTAATTTTAGATGTAGATGATGAATGATTACTTACATGAATATATATGCACTCTTTTCTACTTAGCTGTAATTTGATATATCAGATGACCAGGAACTGGAGGCTTGAATATCAAAGTGTTGTGAGGGTGGCTTTATTGAACTGTCTTTTTGTCAGGGGAAGGTTTCATAGTTCTTCTGAGAAGGATTTTGGAATGAGGGTTGTAATGCTGTGTCCAGAAGCCTGGGATAATGTTACACAAAGGAATTGTTGTGAGTGCAAGAAGGAGGTGCGAGTGAGCAACTCCGGCTGAGCTTTCAGCTCTTCTGGTAGATGCAGGCAGTTGCTGACTGGGACATGTAAAACTGAAAGGAAGCCTGGCCAGGGAGTGGGGGCTGTGTGTGTTTGTGCTTTCCAGATTCCAAAAACCACATGCTAATGGAGTGATGTGCATATTACTGAATGGACCTAAAATAAATGTAAAAAGAACACTTTGGGTTGCGAAATCAAGATTTCTGAGTTTGTATCCAGAAATGTGTTGGCAGTCCAAGCATATTTTCTTCTTATTAATGAACATGTATAATAATAATTGTTACACTGCCATGATAAGAAGTGTTACACACTTCTTATTAATGAACACTAATTGCAGTGATTATTTAATTTCTGATTTGTGCAATATTTCTTATATCTGCTTTAACTTTTTAAGAAAAAAAAGGCAAAAGCCCCAAACTGATGAGTTTAGACCTCATGTCTGGAACTTCTATCATTGTCTCTGAGAAGGTTTGAAGGACATTCATGCTTCTAGAAACCAGTCTGACCAGACAAATTAAGGAATTTTTTTTCCCAGTTTAAATGAGACCTCTCATATTAATTTTGTGTTGAATGAATTTATAAGCATATTGGACTTTTCATATAAGTTTGCTTACTTTTCTAGTCTTGTATATTAAAATCCTTTTCCCTTCTCTAGAATATTGCTATCCAGCAGCACAAACGTTGGTTTCTCATTGGAGAAGATGTGCTAATTTTAGATGGATTTGAACTACTACTTTGAAGGTAGAAACACATGAATTCTGTAATTATCTCCCTACTTGATTTATTTATTATTCTTCTCTGTCCTTCTCCATAGGTTCCTTAAAACTGTGCTATGAATGGTGATTCTGGTGTGGGGGTGGTGACTTCACCACCTCCAACAACAGCCCCTCATAAAGAGAGGTATTTTGATAGAGTTGATGAAAATAATCCAGAATATTTGAGAGAGAGAAATATGGCACCTGACCTTCGCCAGGATTTTAACATGATGGAACAGAAGAAGAGAGTCTCCATGATTCTTCAAAGCCCAGTAAGAAAATAAATGCTTCATCTTTGAAGTGACAAATTTAATATTTTTTTTCCCCACTATCAGTATGGAATTGGAGAATTTTGTGTTACCTTATATCCATTTGTTGTTTTTTCTTCTTGGCCTTTTTTGATTCTTTTTCCTCATTTTATCTGTTTGAATTTTTATGATCTACTAACAAAGCAGCACTTCAGTCTGGCTTTCAGAATCCTCTATATAATCATCATCGTTTTTTTCATATTTTCCATTTAATCCTTGTAAAACATTTATTCATTGGTTTCATTTTTTTGTTTCAATGTAACTCTCTTAAGAGGAGCTTATACAAGGCAGGTCTGTCCTGTACTCAGTTTTCCTTTTGGGATTTGGACATGTGAAATATTTTTACAATCCCTTTCTGAAAAGGTGCACAGTAATGAAGTATGAATGATTGACATTTAATATTGAAGATGTTCCCCTGGGCAGATAGTACACAAACAAACTTTCTTTTTGTAATAACTACTGAGTGACTTTAGATACAAAACATTACGTGACATAACTTCACTTGGAATAGGGATGTGGTGGTACATTCACAATTTTCCTATAATTAAACCAATTTGATTTATGAAAATATTAATAAATCTCTTAATAAAAAAGTAATGACCTAATGACTGTAGTACTACTCTTTCACTACAAATTCCAGTGTTCTTGTCAAAAGCAAGAGCAATCAGCAATAATAAAAACTCTGGTTTTCTTTCTTCCAATTTAAAATATATTTTTAAAAATCCCAGGAAAATGTAAACAACCCTTAATCTAAACAGGTTTTAAAAATTTACTGTTCATTGTTTTCTGTGTTCCTGGATGCCTTCTTGGCTCTCAGTTCCCTGTGAGCCACAGTGAGAAATTCTCTTTTCTGGTTCTGCCACTTTTCCTTTCACATTTTGTGTTAAAGTCAGTTGTACGTTCTCCTACTTCCAGAAATTCATACTAGCAAGGCTTAAAAGACTTTTGGTGTTACTTGAAAAGAGAATGCTGGAATTTCCATAAAAAAAACCCAAGTGACTCAGATCATTGGAGCTCCAGAGAGCAATGCACCCAGTAGTTCTGCCTTGAGGTGTTTTTCAGAAGAGGTGTTGGATGGTTCCATCCAAGTGCTAAAAAGAAGCTGTGTGTGAAAGGCTGAAGTTCATTGGAACATGCATTACAACGTGCAGTGTCTTCTTACTAGGCCTTCTGTGAAGAATTGGAATCCATGATCCAGGAGCAGTTTAAGAAGGGGAAGAACCCAACAGGTTTATTGGCTTTGCAGCAGATTGCGGATTTCATGACAACGCACGTACCAAATGTCTACCCTGCAGCACCTCAAGGAGGAATGGCTGCATTAAACATGAGTGAGTGCACCTTCAGTGATCACAGCTGAATTCTTTTTTCTTTTCTTGAAAGGCTTAAAATGAAGACAGTGTGAATGTAGTAGAGTACTGTGAAGTTAAAATGCTATCCTGTTTTGCTCACACAAACAATGAACACATGAAATGAATTGGTTAGTTTCTAAATGCCACAGTGGTATGCAATGTGATTCATATGTATAGTTTATATCAAAAGTTATTTCAAGGATGGTATCTAAATTGAAAAATAAGCCTGATAAGTCAGTGCTATTAAAAAGTTTTAATATTTAAATATTGCTAATTACTACATGGTTTGTCTTCAGGAAAATCAAATGCTTATTAGCAGTCTGGTAACAGTGAAGGGCTTTAGAAACTAATTATTTTTGCCATTGAAATACCGTTTGCAGCTTTCTCCTGTGAGGTGAAGCTTTAGACAAGAAAAACCAGCGAGCAAAACAGAACAGGAAAAAAACTAGAATGTGCAAATGTATGTAGACACAGGTTTTCTGTTAAGTTAAAATAAATCCTTGCCTGTGCTCCAAAAGAGATCTTTAGTTCTGAATGTAGCATAGCCTTGTTCTGCTTTTTCACAGTTGCTTTTAGCCACATTTCTAATTTCACTGTAACTAGAATTACAGTATTTGTAATTATTACCATAATCTTCCTCTCTCTTGCTTGTACTTAATTTTTCTTAATAAATGAACCTGTGTGCATCTTTTTAGGTAATGTAATTCTTCTTGTTGAGAATAAATGTATCACAAAAGAATGGAATATTTGGGATTAAATTCTTCTTTTAGTAATGAAGATGTATTTTACAAACAATCATTAGTTGGAGAGAGGAAAAAATATTTTGCTAAGGAATGCACTGTTGCGTTAGTACTAATTTCTAGTAGGGAAGGAAATGAATGCTGAGTCTGCCAAAGCTGAACAACCTTGCTGAGGATTGTCATTACATTTGTGTAATGCAAATTATTTCATTGTAGGAATGAAAATTTGCTGTCCATTTCTTAGGTTAATGTGTTCATATAAACCAGTAAGAACAATGGATAAAGTAGTGGCACATGTTGCTAGGTTTGAACTGACACTGAACTCAACCTGCCTTGTCTTTTTGTACCCCTTCTCCTCTTCAGGTCTTGGCATGGTAACACCAGTAAATGATCTGAGAGGGTCCGATTCCATTGCTTATGAAAAAGGGGAGAAGTTGTTACGATGCAAATTGGCAGCTTTCTACAGATTAGCAGATCTATTTGGCTGGTCTCAGCTTATTTACAATCATATAACAGTGAGTATTGAATCAACAGATAACTGAACCAATTGTTTTAACATACAAGAGAATCGCTTTCCTCCCCTATCTGTCATTGTCTTTGTGTGTGAGAAGAGCAAAGTGGTATTGAAAACAATATAATAGTGAAGAGATTTGTCATTGCATTTCAGCTTGGATGTCAGCTACCACAGTCTGAATAGAGTCTTGAGAGAGTGTACATGAGAATTCTTAGGATGAAATAAAGATTGCTGAAAGACTTAGTCTTTTAATGTCTCAAATGCTTTGAATAATTGTATTTATTATTCTACAAGGTCAGTTCTTAGTTTTCTTGATTTTTTTGCTAAATACTAAAATATCTTCTTAGTCATTCAGCTGAATTTTATAATTCAGGTACCAGCCTTTCTGAAAAAGAAGCCATAGTATTTCTGAACATGAGTGAGTTTCTCCGCTTAATGCAGCGTGCCAACAATTTTCCTTGTGACTGAGTAATCATTGGCATCCATAAAAATAATGACAAGGAGGTCAAATCAAGGAGGTTTTATATGCCAGAAGAATGGTCAACATGACTCTCATGAGTAAAGTCACAGCTGTGGTGTGCTGCCCTGTCAATTGTTGTCCTAACAGAGCTGAATTGTTTTTTATTCTACATATGTCCTTTATGTATTTTCAGTTCTTCTAGTTGCAGTTGAAATGAAATATGGTAATATTATTTTTACTGCTTGTCAAGAATTCAAGGCATATTATTTGTGAACAGATGAAGATGATAAATGATACGTGTAAGCATAGGATCAAGATGGTATTGGTTAGATCATTTGGTTCCTTTTGCAAGGGAGAATATCCAACATAATGGTTCTTGTAAACAGCTCTGTGCCACCCCCAGATTTTTCATGCGTGACAGGAGAAGTGATTTTGTAAAAGGCACATTAATGCACTGAAAAGCAAGCAGGTTTGGAGATGGCTTTCTAATGTAAAGTTCAGCCATGGGAATGTTTGTACATTTAGATAAAAAATTAATGTAATGAAGAGCAGCATGTCAAGGGAAGGGGTTGAAGCAAGGGCATGTAATTGGAGTGGAATGCCTCAAGTTTGCTTTCTTTGTGGAGGAGTACAAGGAAGATACCAGTAGAGGAGGTACCAGTTGAGGTGGAAGACAATCAAAGCACTTGGAAAATGAGATTCTGAAAGTGTTTTAGTCACATCTGAATGGCAGAGGTACTGGAAAGCTCTTGGTTTGTCAGCAGCAGTCCCAAGTCTTAGTTCTCCTGTCTTTCACAAGCTCCTCCAGTGAACAGCATTCTGAAAGATGACTGAAAGATACAAATTTTCTTCAGAAGCTGATACAGAACAAGGTTGTTATGTTTATTAAGTAGTACTAAGACACCCCTTTGGAATGTGGTGAATGCTACCACTTCATGCAGTGCTGGTGTTTGACTCCAGGTTTTCCGTTTTTTTGTGAGTGGATGCTGTAATTTCTGGGTGATTGCATTCAAGTTACAAGCTTGTGCCAGTGCACTTGTGAGGTAAGAGAAAAGGTACAACAGCCTTCTGTGAGAGTCATAAGCCTGTGTGTTAGAGGAGAATGGCATATACTCTCATACCCTCACAATTTCCATCTCGGCATATCCATAGTTGCGTGGAGTATCGTTGCTTTTTTTGGATCCTTATCAATCACTAACAGCTACTGTATGTGGAATTGCTCAGACTGGTGCAATCCTGATGCAGAATTACAGAGCATCAGGAGCTTTCATGCCAAGTATAATAATGTTGAGTATACTTGGGTAGCTCCCAAGTCAAGTGCAAGAATGTAGAGTAAACTTGGGTGTCTCCAGGGTCAGGCAGAATTTGAGATTACAGGTAGACATCATTCACCAGGTCTTGATTTGCTTTGGAGGCATGAGCTGTTAATTGGATCTAATCCTAAAGCAAAGTGGTTTGTGAGTCTCGCTGATTGTCTTTGATTTGAGCTTTCTTATTAGCTTTTGGGATATTTTGAATAATGTTCTTTGTCTTGCATAAACAAGTAAGAGATTTTTCTTGATCATTTGCACTTCTGTAGTGGAGAACTACTTTGGTGATTCATAAAAGTACAGATTAACTTCAACTGACTGCTTCAGTTTAAGATTCTTACGCTGTAGCATGTTCCCAGCTGGTTGTAAAGGAAACCAGATCTGTGCTAGAACCTTTTGCATGTCTGCACAACTACTTACTAGATTTTTTTTTTTCCGGGCAGTAGAACTATAGCTAAGTATATGTGTATTTAATGTTGCAAGTAGTAACAGACATAAGGCAGAAACAGCATAAAGTAGCTGCATCTCAGGGAAATTGAAAACTTATAAATAACTTAAAAAAAACCCAAACAACAACCAAACAAAAAGCCGAAACCCACAACACAAACTACCCAAATGCTGGATAGACTCATAGCAAAGTAGGGAGTTGTCTCATGTGTCCAGTAAAACTTAGGAAGCCTGTTAATTCACCATCAAAAGACACCTTAATTACCTAGATGTCCTGTACTTTTCATTGTACATACTTTTAAGAGATACATCCCAAGATGTGAATGCTTTGAAGCAAAATTATTTTTGTATTAAAAACCCCTGATTGTGTTTGTATTATAAACCTCTGAGAGAGGAAAAACATAAGTGAAGTTCAGGATACTTGGTAGAAAATTTGCAAGTGTGCTATACTGCTCACAGATATCTCACAGGAACCTGAATCAGTGACAAAATCCTTCTCAGCACCAAGATGTTTTAGATCTTTAGAAATTTTAGGCCAATTCTTGTGTTTTTTCACAGCCTTTTACTCTATACCTCATATTTTACTAGGGTAGAAATACAGTTGGAGTGTAAACTCATTCAACTGAAAGAATTAACTTTTTTCCCCATTTCTCTCAGCATTGTTCATTTTATCCATAGTAGGCGAGTTGTCATTGTAACAGAATATAAGTGTTTACTAAATTCCACTAATCTGAAGGACACTGGCCTGTTACTGCCATCTGGTTTTGTTCAACATTTGTTAATTAACAATGCAGTGCATTGATTATCTGTTGTAGCATACATGAAAGTCATAATGTGTTTTGTAGGTATACTTGCCCATTCCATAATCAGGATGTAAAAGTAATAGTTTGGGGTCTTCTTGTATGCTTTAATAAATCTACTTAGTAACTCTTGTTTTACTCTTAGGCCAGAGTAAACTCTGAGCAAGAACATTTCCTTATTGTACCTTTTGGCCTCCTCTACAGTGAAGTCACTGCATCTAGTCTGGTAAGCAATTGTTAATTTTCATAGCTGTAAAATATTTACTTTTATTTATATATGTATGTGTGTATATATGTATGAGTATATATGTCACTTCAAATTCAATCCTAGAGACTATTTTACTGTTGTGTAATATGTTTAGAACAAGGTTACTGAACATGGCTGGTTTTGGTATTGCTGGGTATCTGAGAGATTTGTTTGCCCATGTTCATCACCAGGTGTCCTCCAGTTGATCTACCTGTAAAGAAGTATTAGGTCATTTGGACAGTGAATCACCTCATACTTTTTAAAGCTGCTGGCTGTTGAGTCGACCTTGTTGAAGGAAACTTTAGGCATTTCAGATATAAATGATGACAACTGGTTTTAGAGTCTCAGTGGTAGATGCTGAATTAAATCAGATTTTTTTTGAGTCTTGATTATGAAAGCAATTCTTTTAATTCCCAGGTTAAAATCAATATTCAGGGAGATGTGGTTGATCGTGGAAGCACTAACCTGGGAGTAAACCAAGCTGGTTTTACGTTGCACTCAGCAATTTATGCAGCTCGACCTGATGTCAAATGCATTGTCCACATCCACACGCCAGCAGGAGCAGCGGTAAGCTCCCTTCCGGCTGTGTCCTGTTCCCCCACCCCTCCCAAAGGGAAAATAGGTAGGTCCCATCAATCACAGATTTGCTTCCTATTTGGAGGGCAGAGAGCCTTTCAGTCTGTCTTCAAGTATGATTCTCTTTGAATCAGAGCCCATCCTTACTGGGTTGTTACCTGAATGGTCAGACAGTAAATTGAGTTCTATCACTGGAAAATATGTATGTCATATATGTGGGTCCTTTACCACAAAAGACCAGATCTTTTGAGAGTGAGTAATAAAATCTTTAACATATTTTGTTGGTTTTGTAAAGCACAGTTTGCCAAGGTTTTATGAAATGCTTGAAACTTTCCCAGTATTTCTGTTTGGAGAAACTGATTACAAGTCAGTTCTGCCTCTTTATAATGTTTTGAGAGAATGACTTTGTGTTCACATTCTGGTGATTTTTTTACAACCATTTTAAGGATAAATGAGCAAATTCCTACTATTGTGAATTACAGTGTAGCCTTTAAAAAATATAAGTTTACTTGCAGTGCTGCAGAATTATCTGTATCACCAAAGTTATTCTTTTGGCATGGGGGCAGGAGGGGGGAAGTAACTGAATGGAGTGGAAGGAATGAAGGATGCAGTTGATTTTGGGATTTGGTGTTTTCTTGAGGTTTTTTTCCCCAAGTCCTTTTATATTGAGGTTGCTGTTGTGTAAAAACAGCCATATTGAGACAGACCCAAAATCATAGTGACTTTTGTATCTAGTCCAAAAGTTATCAAAAATAGAGGCTTTAAGGACAGAGTATGTATGTACATACACTGTGTATGTACCTATAGAGATATATTCAATTAATACATAAAAATATACTCTTATCTTAATTCTCATCACTATATTTTTTCACTTTTTCTGTTGCAAGAAATTAAATCAGTTGTTTTACTATTTCTCAGGTTTCTGCAATGAAGTGTGGTCTCTTGCCAATTTCACCTGAAGCACTTTCTCTAGGGGAAGTAGCTTATCATGACTACCATGGTATTTTAGTGGATGATGAAGAAAAGGTGGTTATTCAGAAAAATTTGGGGCCTAAAAGCAAGGTCAGTATTTACAAAGAATAAAGGAGGGGGGGCAGTATGTTTGTATGGCAGGTATATTCTTTAATCAGCAGTAAATATACTTTAATCAAGAGCAAGAAAATACTTGGCGTACTGCTGGTAACTTTCTTTCAATGTTTCTCTAGGTCCTTATTCTCAGAAACCATGGCTTAGTATCAGTTGGAGAGACTGTTGAGGAGGCTTTCTACTATATTCATAACCTAGTGCTTGCGTGTGAGATACAAGTAAGAGCTTTCATATGTTATGTAATAATACAGCTTGCTGTGTTAACCTCCAAACAGATTAATAATTGCATACTTTACTGGTTCAGCTCTTGGATCTAAACTAACACAGCAATGTGTGCTGTCACTATATTGTGGGGGGACATCCAAAACTTTGGTTTCACAGACAATATTCCAGTATTGTATTGAAACCATCAATTTGCTGCCCATTAAAACAGATACTTTCAAAGACTTAAGACAGCTTTTATACAAGCATATTCACTTATTTAGTTTTAAAGTGAAATAGATTTCTTCTGGGTTTATGCCAAGTTTTTAGAGGCTTTTTTTGGTAGTTTTCACCCCATTCCCTACAAGAAACTTAAAGATCACTATTGTTTTAAGGTACGTACCCTGGCCAGTGCAGGTGGCCCTGACAACTTAGTGCTTCTTGATCCTGGGAAGTATAAAGCCAAGTCTCGTTCCCCTGAGTCTCCAGCAGGTGAGGGTACTGTATCCCATCCCAAATGGCAGATTGGTGAACAGGAGTTCGAAGCTCTTATGCGAATGCTGGATAATCTGGTAAGGCAGACCTTTTTGTCTGATTTTTATATTACAATGTATAAAATAAATTTTTTAAAGCTGCATGTAGTTGGGATAGTTTATACAGCCTGCAGCCTGTTCTTTCTCAAGGACTTGGAGACAATATCAAAAGCATCAGGTGTCCTTTGTACAGATTTAGCACATTTACTTCTTATTTGTAATCTGATTGCTATGGGTGAGATCAGAGGAGATCTTATGGGATTTGGCACTTCCAAATCAGAGTACTGTGGTGCTTGCACTCAATCTGTATTTTCCCCTCTTTCTATCCCCTCCCAAAATGTGTAAAACTATTAATGTCTTATTAGGTGTGAGGTCCTGCGTAATTTGTCTAGGATTCTACTAGTACCTAGGAGAGTTAAAAAGACAGGCTTTAAATAAATAATAGCCTACAGATAAAATTGTTTCAGTAAGAACCCATCCGTAATGAATGACCAGATACCAAAATTTACTATCCAGTTTCAATGGGAAAGATGTGGCTGGGGACAGCAGACTTGTTGTATCTGACTGATACCTTTGGTAGAGTCAGTTGGATTTCAATTTCTCGAGGAAATACCAGTTTTATGTTTCTTACTGAAATAAGCAGCATCATAAAAGAAATGGCATTGAACTCAGTAGGAATGTAGCAATAGAAACAAGCTTTCAGTCATACAGTACAGACCCTTATGATTAGCCACATACTGTATTGGGTAGTTAATTATATTAGGTGGTAGATAATGACTCAAGATTTGTTCTGATCATTATAAGTTGGAGCAGAGCCCAAGTAAGGCCTAAGCAGTGCTTAATGCATGAAAACTCAATAGAAAGCTAAGTCTGCATAGTTGGGGCTGATGTTTATTTACAGCTGGCTTGGTAGAGAATTTGAGCACTTTGGGAACTAAGCTATTCACACTTCATTTGAGCCATTTTGAAAATATGTTGCTAGTGGAAACTCCTTAAAGAAACTTAAACATCCTTCTTGTATGTTAAATGCTGAGCATAATATGAAAGAAAGCATGGGCAGACATGACTAGTGTGAGTAGGGAAGGTTAAAGGAGGAACAAAATACAATTCAGAGGAGGTGGGAAAGTGAAACAACATAAGATTAGGGAAAGGAGTGAATAAGGACAAAAAAGTAGCATTCTTGAAGTATTCCCTTGTATACTGTATGTTGATTTCTAGATGTAAAAACACAGTAAAGATCTTTCTATTTACCCTATCATAGGGGTACTTCTTTATGTCTTTGATTTAGAATTGTGAAAAACCATCAATACTTTTGATTACAGTTTTTTAAAAAGTGTAAATGAATAGCTGGAATGTAGTACAAAAAAAAGTTATGATTCTGCATTTGGACTTGAATCCAACTCCAGAGACTTGAACAATTACTTGAAAATTCTATGAAAAACAGCAGGAAGCACTAATATACATTGTTTTTCCCTTCATAAGAAAACCTATAAAAAGGATTTTTAAAAAATGTGTTATCATTAAAATACAGATGGTAAATTTTTTGCTTGATGGTGAGAAGAGGCACATCCATAGCACTGCTCTTGATGACCTTCTCAGTCACTTCAATGGCTTTTTGCAGGACTACTGGAAATTCTTCACAAAAGCTTAATACAATGTTTTTGATGTTTCATACCAGAAATGGTGACTTTTTAAAATTAGTGGTTCAGAAGTTGCTTAGATTGGAAGGGATGCTAATGTAGCCCCCCTTCGACATGACTGTGCCCACCATAACAGGTGAGCAGCCATGTAAAGAATTGTATTGTGTTGTAGAATGGTTTTCACAGTTAAGACTATCAATGAAATTTCAGTTATCTGTTGAAAAACTCAGAGATATAGAAGACTAATTCTACTGCTCTCCTTCTCCAGGGTTACAGAACCGGCTACCCATATCGATGCCCTGCTCTGAGAGAGAAATCTAAAAAGTACAGCGATGTTGAGATTCCAGCTAGTGTCACAGGTTACTCCTTTACTAGTGATGGTGAATCAGGCATTTCCTCCCCCCTCAGACACAGTTTTCAGAAACAGCAGCGAGAGAAGACAAGGTGGCTGAACTCTGGCCGAGGGGATGATGCTTCTGAAGAAGGGCAGAATGGCAGCAGTCCCAAGTCGAAGACTAAGGTGTGGACGAACATTACACACGATCACGTGAAACCCTTGCTGCAGTCTCTCTCGTCCGGTGTCTGCGTGCCAAGCTGTATTACCAACTGCTTGGTCTGTGCCTACCTTACTGTTCATAGTTAGATGATGTAGAGCAACTTGGGGTGGCTGGCACTTAGAGGCTTTGGGAAGAAAAAGATAACTCTCCTAATTATTTTCTTCTTTCTTATATTAAAAAAAAATAAATGTGTTTTACTAACCACTTAATTTGATTAGCTGTGACCTGTAAAAATGATCTTGCTTATTAATGCTTAAAACTGCTTAAGACTTTGGACCTTTTAGTTTTTTTCTGTCTTTCCAAGCTATTGAAACAGATTGAATTATAGTTTTGACTAAATAGGTTCTGCATTTCAGTGTTTCTATTAAGGACAGCTATGTAAGGGAGCTACTAATTCTCTCTGCATGAAAGCTTTTCAGTTCAAAATCAAACTAACAATTCAATGTACTTTTGTACAAGTACATAAAAAAATCAAATTTCTACCTTCTGTAACATATACCAACTTAATCTGCAAGGTATTTGCAATCTTCTCTATGAGAAGGTAGAATTGATTTCAAAGTATTTAAATCTTTTTCCCCCCCTTAAGCAGTTTTTTATTGTCTAGTTTCTCAGCTCCTTTTCCTGTCCTGTTTTCTACACTTCTGTCTATCCCAAAGCCTCTGAGTGTGTTCACAACCAGCTGCCTTCTGCATGTAGTGTTGCATGTAAGTAGATGGCCATAAATGGAAAGTCTTTCCTAAAGTATCAGCTGGGTGCGGCATGACTAAAGTGCAGCTCAGGCCATCAGCAGGCACTAATCGATAGATTCTGCAACTGGTGCTTTTCTTTTGTTTATCAATGCTGCTTACAGTTAAATTTTGCACTGAAAGATATGTTAATTGAAAAGCAAAATATCAACTGCTTTCAAATGGACATCGTTAGCTGTTGGTGTGTAACTGTGGGTTTGATACTTTCTTGGGCATACACAGAGTGACTGAGCTGAAGGCAGGGATTTGCACGGCTACAGCCTTTTGTAATGGTTGACCTCAAGCTCAGCCACAGGAGTTCAGTAGAACTTTGGTAGTGGTACTGTGTATAGTAGTAGTATGGTTACAGGTGAGTCTTAAAAATATAAAACTAGTAGTCGTCAGATAAATCCACCATATTATTTTTTTTCCAGAACACCTTAATTTTTATTTATCCCTACAAAACTCTGCTACACCTCTGAATACACTCAGGGTCCTCTATATTTTGAATACTTTTATGAAATGATTCCTCAGGCAATAAGGTTGCTAAAATGCATAGTGTTAACATGTAGAAAGTCCTGAAAAAACGGAGGCACTCTCTCTGTGGTATTTTTGTGGTGTTATTTTTGGTTTAAGAAATTAATAAATACATTTGTTGTTTGTACTAGCAACTAAGCAAAATTATCATTTAACTGAATATAGATTTACCTTGATGAAGTATGGTTTTGTTTTATTGATCTACAGTGATACAGATTTACCTTGATCAAATAGTTTACCCATAGCTTCAAGCTATGTATATGTTTGGGCCAGTTTGTGCTTTTCACCCACAGCTCACAAAGGAGGTAGTATTTAATATTTGAAATTATCAATGAAAGACTAAAGCAAAATTCTTCGTCACAAATTAAATTGGTTTAATGATATATTGAAGCAATAGATAATTTCATACAGTATAAAAGGTTTGTGTATTTAAATTTTTTAATGCTTGCTATTAACCTAAAGAAAAAGTGGCTTGTTATATTGAGGTTGTTTTTATATATATATATATATATATGTTTTGACTAAAAACTATCTTTAATAAAAAGCTGGAGTAGTTTTTATCTGAGAAGATAATCATCAGTGAGTATTTCGCAGCTCCATGTTCATTCCATTTTTTTACTTTACAGTTGCAAAACATTTTAAAATTCTGTTGCTTTCTGAAGTCTGACAGTTTCTGGCTATCTTATTGTTTCTTGAAGTTACTGAGGAAAAATGCATAGCATTTGCTCTATAAACAGGTTTGCTTTACTGTTCGGTGCATTTTCTATGCAATAGTGATTGGAATTAGGACATTGTATAAAGTAAATATATCAAGATAAAGAGTTAGTTGTGCCTCAAATTAAACAGGACTCCATACTAAATGCACAGATCAAATAAAGCAACCATCTATGAAGAACCCATGAAGCGCTTAAAGCTTGTGTTTGGGATATTTTTGTAACCTGAGCTATGAGTTATAAAATATTTGACATCACCAAACTGTTCCTTTAGGTTGCTGTGCTGGTACAGCTCTTTGTTTGTGCAGAAACTAATTCTGGTAACATCATTTTGCTGAAGTAGCTTATTTTAATGCAAAACTTTGGTGATGCCCACTCCTGCTTCACAGTACAGAATCATTCACTAAACCTGGATATTGACATCACATTGCTTTTCATACTTCTGTCATCTTATGCTTTAAGTTTGCTTTGATGTTTGTTACCAGAGGATTGAATCAATGATATCTCTGTCTCTCTCATGTTATTTTGTAAAAACACCCAGTGCAGAAAATGAAAATGGCAGTAACAGAGTCTTAAAGCTCTTGCCTTAGATCTTGCTGTACTTCTGTTTGGGTAAGGAAGAGTGTCCTTTTTAAACAAGTATGAACTCATTGAGAAATTTCTTATTAAAAATGGCCTTAAAAATAAGTAATTATATTGGCATTCTCCTGCTCCTGTCTTGATATATCTATTCATAAAGTGAGAAGTAGGTGGTTTTTAGAAACACAAATCACTGCAGCTGTCAGTGTGGTCAAGTGCACAGAAAACCAGCTTAAAAACCCCTCAGTCCTCATAATCTCTGAACTGTACATAGGAATGACATTGTTTTGGGTGAAAGTTATTTGCAAGTTAACTGGCTCTCTAGTTGTTATTGTTACTAACCAGACTTGATAGAATGGTTCTGATCTCTAGAAATGTATCTGAAGGTATAGTTTATATTACTGAAGAAGAAAGCAACTTAGTCCTAGGAATGAATAGAAGAATGCAATCATTGGTTCAGTTCTCTGCTCTGTATGATGCATGATCAACTGTGATGTGACTTTGCTGCTCTGAGTGTCTGTGGCCATTACAGCAGTTCTGACTCTGCAACTGTTCTTGATGTTACAGTGGACTAAAGAGGATGGACATAGAACTGCCACCTCTGCTGTCCCTAATCTGTTTGTTCCATTGAACACCAATCCAAAGGAGGTCCAAGAAATGAGGAACAAGGTTTGTAATAGCAGTTAAAATAACTTCTTTTTTAGTCATCACCACAATTAAGTTGTGTATTTGTAATGAACTAATTTACTTCGCTATAATGACATTTTGAGGGCTCAGTAACACAGTTCTGGTGTTATCCTTTCCCTTTATAACTAAATAATGAAACAATTCCTAAGTGTCCTGAACTCCTCTTGGAAAAAGTTGGTATTTCTGTTCACTATATGGAGATGTTTTTCAAAGACTAATTTTTCTTAGACCAGTTGTTGTATACCTGTGAAACAGCCAGTCCTGAGTTTATGGTAGTAATTCTGTACCCTGAGATCATAGTTTTACATTAGTGACATGTTTTCCTGTTCTGGTAATACCCGTTGGAATTTTGTGGCCTAGACAAAGTAGTCTATAGATCTCTCTCTGTATTTCAATGTACTGTATTACATAGTACTGTATTAATGCACTGATTATTGCAGACTTTCTTTCTTTTGTCTTTGGAACTGCAAGTTAATATTTTTGAAATGAGCTTGCAGTTAATTTTCCTGGTTTTGAATTTCAGATCTTCTTGTCCAGTCTACCAACAGAAAAGCACTGAATGAATTGGGGTTTTTTCCACTTTATTTCTTTTACAGTATAAAATATGCTCTGGTATCTTGTTAATATTAAACTTGTTCTGGATTGTTTTGATACCTCTAATTGATAGCCACATGGTGCATTGGAATTAGCATTCTGTCAAAGAAAGGCTGTGTGCAGGGATACTAGCAGGAGTCTAAAATAATTTGTATATGGCTGACAGAACTTATGCTTGGCACTGTAAAATAATAACCACTTGAAATGAGAATTACCATGAAACTTCCAAGCAGGTTTTGTGTTTCAAACACAAACCTTGCTTTATTAAAAACTTGAAAGAAGTGACTAAGAGATTAAGTCTTCAAATTTTACACTTTCTCAAGGATGAGAAGGGTGGTAAATTAGAAACAAGTGAAAAAGATGGGGGAACCTTGTGCTTTCTGAGATACCAAGTATTAATAATACTTCTTGTTTGTGTATTTGTATGTATATATTTTTCATAAAGTCAATGCCCTTTTTAGTTGTAAAGTACAGATCTTTTAAGATGTGTGCTTTTCTTCATTTATCTTGGAACAAGAACTAGAATATTTTAGAAATAAATATTGAGTCAGTTGTTATGAATTCTTTACCACTGAAGGATATATAATTTTAATAGATAATAACTAGGTTTAGAAATCTGATTTCTGTCCCCATCTTCTCTATTGGAATAACTGGGAGGTATTTAGGATGCAGCAAAAGGGGTGTTCTAGAGAATTCCAGAGTGTCACTCTATCCACAGAGAAGTTATTTATCTGTCCTTTTGAGGATATTATCCTGATTATGTGCAAAAATGGAAAGTTGTGCAATGTTTTACAGTAAGTTCTGTATGAGGATGATATTGTGGTGCTAGATCAGTAACTAATGACAGAAACCTGCAGCTGACTGGTCAGGTAGAATAGACAGAAAAGCAGAGAGGTAATACTTCTATTTCTATTCACTTTTCACAAACTGGAATTACCTGTTACGTGTTTTACCATGCTTTAGTACTGAAAAGCAAAAGACAATACCTTCTGTGGTACTTAAAGACTAAATTCTGAGTAATGTCAGGAAACAGCCAGGAACCTGAACATTTATGTTCAAGTGGTGTTTATAAGCTCAGCTTCATTTGACAGCCCTGTGGCCGCAGCAATTAGCACTGGTTGCTGCCTGTTGGAAGGTTCACTCCCCCTTTTCAAACACAAAAATATGATCAACTTTTCTCCATTGTTCATGTGATAGTTGTTCATTCTGCTGCTTTCCTTTACAGATCCGAGAGCAAAATTTGCAGGATATTAAAACAGCAGGCCCTCAGTCACAGGTTCTTTCTGGGGTAGTTGTGGACAGGAGCCTTGTACAGGTGAGAGTATTCAATTCCTGAAACTATTAGTTTAATCTTTACAATCTTCTGCTTTCACCTAATATATCACTATGAAATTATTCTTTAATTGGCAGAGAGTAACTGTTTATAAGGTAAGTCTTAGAGGTAATACCATTGTCTTTGCAAGAGTGCTCAGGATCAGAAATTTAGAGGCTTCAGCCATATACCCCAAGCATGTCTGTGGAGGATGCTTCTTGGTTTTTTTGCTGAATGTAATGCATGAAATTCAGAAGCCTTATTTATATGGGTTAGATTCTTGTTCAAAACTAGTTGAGCTTTGTGACAGCTTTTTGTTTCTTTGATTTCTGAGTTTATGTATCTTGAAGGATTAATACTGGGCACACCAGGCTCACTGTGGGGCAGTAGTGTTTCATGTTAAATATGGGATTTCATGATTCATAATACTTTATTTGAAGAGCAGTTTGGGAAAAAATGCTATTACCTCAATGAAACTTAAAAGCAGTGTATCTGGATATACAAAAGACTATAAATCATAGCTTCAAGTCAAGTAAGAATTAGAGCTGTACAGTTATACTGTATAGCCAAATAAAGCTTTCTATATCCAAGTGCTTTCAACTGCCCCAGATAAGTATTTTCTGATAATACTTTTTAAAGATTGGCAAGTCTTATCATGACCGCAGCATTATTTATGTTGGGTGTTATATTGTGTGCATGTCAATTCACTGTCATATGCAATTTCATATACCAGTTTCTGTTTCTTTGCATGTTTTTAGCAAGCATCACAATGCTTTTGGTTGATGTTGTAAAGCCCGGGCTCGGTTTGCTCTGTTTACTCAATTTACTGTTGCAGGATGCTCCCCTCTCAGACTGTACGGAATCTATTGAAGGGCTCGATCTCACAGAGCAGGCCTTTAGTCCTGCTAAATCTCTGTCTGTTAGAAAGGTACTGCCCTGTCATACTGCTCTAAATACTGTTGTTCACCCTTCATTTAACCTCTCCTTACCCTGACCTTTTTCCTCTGTAAGAAATGATTTGGCTAGAAAATTTTAAAAAATGAAAATAGATGGATCTTCAAATTATGTATATGCAATGATGCAAACAGTTACTTTACTCTGTTAAGAGTGTCTGTAGAAGCTGGTGAGGAAACACTTTTGATGTTAAGGTGCTGATCAGGTCCTGCATATAGAGGATTTCTTTATGCATGCTATTAGTCTTGAATTATTCTAATTTGAGATCAATTTAGAATTAGTTTAATCTCGGCCTGATTACATGAGTGTAAGTCTGAGGATACTCTGTGTGTTATGTGACACTGCCCACTCTTGATCCCAGAGCTCTGGACAACTGGCTTCCTTCATACTTCCTGCAATTAGCTGCAAGAGTTGCTAAGTAATGCCCTACATGTGCAAAATAGATTTGTTTTCACACTTGTAGTCATGTTTGTGCTTGCATAATGTAAATTAAATACAGAATAAGTTCAAGAGGTATAGACGTGTTGTGGTGGGCAGTCCTTGGGGCTGGCTGAATGGAGCAGCTGCACACTGCAAATAACATTTCTTAGAGCACATCTAGTGTGGAAGCACAGTGTGTAAATAAGCATCAGTGCCTCCTCTGCTCCAATGTTTTTTTTAGCTAAAATATTGTTAAATCTTGGTTTTAGGTTGTGCCTAAACAGCTCATTATCAGAATAGCTTTTGCATGAAAGAAAATACAGAATACTTTGAATTACACCATTGTTGGAAAACTTGTGGTTTTATAACTCTTTCTAAAGGGTAATGAGCCAGTTTGTGTTATAGATACTTAGATCTTATGAATATGATGGTCATATTTTTCACATTGCAGTTTATTTTGTCCATATTCAGAAAGGAAAAATAATAAAACACCATTTCTGGGTTTAAGACAAAAAGTAAAATAAAGCCAAATTCTTTCAGGCAGTGCATGGCTTTTATTTTCCACATAATAATACCTTCAAAGTGAAAAATTACTTTTATGACAGGTCTTTTTTTAATGGTGATATATTTCAAGTATTATGTTCAAACAATGACATAGCTTTTCTGTAAAAGTAATCAGATCGTTTACATGCATTTTCAGAGATGGCAGAGAACCAACAAATGTTCTGTTGGTTTTGTGATTTTTGTCTAGTAGTATCCTGTTAGGGTTTAGATGTCCAAATTGTTTCTTTTTTTTTGTGGTGTCATGAAAGTGCTTTCTGCCTGAAATAGTGTGTAAAATTAGACCACAATGTAAATTACAAGAGGAATTATGAAATAGAAGTGGCCTATTTAATAATCTTCATTATTTTAACATGGATTGTGACCTGAATGCTTAATAACTTCCTGTTTGGAGAAAAAAAATAGCAACCCAAGAAACAAAACCAAAACAAACAAACAAAAAACCCACAAACCAAACAACCTCTTTCTAAAAAAATGTCACCCAAACCAGAAAATCCAATGAACCCAAAAATAACAGCAACAAAACACAACCACCAGAGACATTTCCTTGAAAGATTCTGCCATAAAACAGTTGTGTTTTGTGGAACAAAGGAAGTGTAAGCAATCTTACGATGCCCACACAAACTTCACCTGAAAATTTCAATGAAACTGAGGAATTCTGTACCTGAAGGACTTAGGGATTTTTAGGTACCAGACAATTAGAAGTTCTCAGTTGACAAATTCTTAAACATTCAATGACAGTTTGTGTAAAAAGTTTCACATAATTGCAGTAACACAATGTATTCTATTTTCAATTAACATTGAGATTTATATCAAACACTAATGCACACTATTTTGGATGAAGAAATGCCTCCTTGTGCACAGCATGCATGTATTGCTTTGAGCTCCTGTGCCTATGGCTGCAGCAGTGAATACTCACTCCATCTTGCCTCGTTGCTTGCTTTATCCATGTTCTGAGAAGTCCTGACCATGTTGCAACACAACCTCCTTGTGCCTCATGTAATTTTATTCCTGGTCAGACTTGGTTAACCAAGCTTCTGCTGCAGTCTTGGCTGATTGACAGGGAATGTTGGTTATTCTTACCAACAACCATTCTGCAGTCTCATAAGAAAATAAATTCTCATGAATTTTCAGTAATTTTAAATAGAAGGGGACTCACCCACTTTGGGTCTCTTCCTTTAGAATGGAAATTCTGTGGCTTTTTTCTTAATCCAGACCCTCTCAGTGCTGCCCCAGAGGTGACACTGAGTTTGAGTTGTAACTTCTACATGAACAGTACCTCAGGAATCTTGGTGTTTTGGATAAAGGTGCTGCATTAATGTTAGATTGTGTTAGGAGCAATTGTTAACTTAGACCCTTATTATGAACCTCCTGTCTGATTGAAAGAAGAATTGGCATATATAAAGTGCCAGTTTTGGTCATATTTATCCCTGAGAACAAGGTGAAGTGCTTGCCTGTTAAATAATGGTCAGGTTTGAATTTTTCAAAAGCCAGGTTTGGTCTAGAAGTTACAAAATTACTTGATTATCTAAATTTTTATGTAGGAAGTATGAAGTCCATGTTTAATATGAAGGTATATTGCATATCATTAGCTATAAATGACTTTCCCTTTGTGTCTGTGTATGTATGCCCTTACAGAGTAAAAATGCATTCTCTTCATAAATATCTATCCAGTGTTTCTTACAGTGGAGAAAATGCTGTTGATATTTGAGTGCATACACATGTGATCAAATTTCAAATTTTCATCCAAATACTTTCAGAATCATCATCAAAGTAATACTAGGATCAACCTAATCCCAAAGGGATCACTAGAACACTAATTTTTTTAATGTCATCTTATGCTGAAACAGAGTGTGAGTCTATGGGAATTTATTCCTTCTCTACAGGTTCTTTAATACTGGAAGTAACTCCAGACCAATTTTCTTGTTCAGTTTTTCTCAACATCCTTAGGAATCTCTGAATGGTATGGTCAGGTTGATAGCTTTGCAAAATCTTGTCTATTTTAGTGTCACATTTAACAATTGGAAATATGTTCTGTACTGTCTTTGTAGTCCTTTATACTTGTTTGCTTTCTGTCCCATGTTTCATTTTGTGTTGTATGTTTTATTTGAATTCTTGGAAGGCTGTTCTGTGGCCTAGTCTGTGGAGTAAAACATATCTTCTTGATTTAGAAGTAATGATGGTTTAGATTAATCATACTAGTATAGAGTAACCATATTGCAGAACTTATTAACATATTACTATAATTTATTTCCCACATAGACTCAGTCCCTCTACCAGTAGACTCAGACCCTCTACCAGTATCATTTTCATTTGTGGCCTTTGAACAGCTTTTGTATTATTGACACTGAATAAAACTGGATAAAAAAAGTTTTTAAAATAAAAGTTAAAATAAACCAGAAGTTTTCCTTTCTTATATCTTGTATAATTTTTCTGCTTTTATGATCCAACATTCTTCCTCTGATCTTTTCAATGCTACTTCTCTTGAGTCAAAGCTATTCAGCAAGTACAAATACTGTTTGCAGAGATTGTGGGTGTTTTTTGTGAGGGTTTCATTTTGGTTTTGGTGTTGTTTTTTTTT